TCCCTGCACAGCAGCAACCTGTGGAGAATTAAAGCAAATACTACATTTAGTTAATTTAACTTAAAACTAACTCCATTACTCAGTTAATTAAATGAAGAGACATTCACCTTTGGTAAAACAAAGTAATGATAAACTGTTGAGACCAAAAAACAAATATGAGCATATTTAAGACATTTTTCAAGCTGTTAAAAACAGTGCCAAGGGACAAGTGAGCACCAAACTGCCCTCCCTGCTCCACTGTGGGACACCACTGCTGTCCCCAGGTGCCCAAAGCTAAGAGGCTCAGACTCCCCCGAAGCCCACATGTGATTTTATTTATTTAATTAGAAGCAAGTGAGATCAGCAGTGTAGTGGACTGATACTGTGTGTGAGGCCAGGGCTGGTGTGAGAAGTCACAGGAATGATGCTGCAGAGCCCACGCTGGGTGGAGGCCACGTGCAACAGGAGGCAGCAGGTCCTCAGTCCTGCAGCCACACAGCCCTGAGTCCACACAGAGCAAACAGAGCAAACCTCACTTGTGTTCACATCTCCACTGGCCTGGCTCACACACAGCATTGGGTTCCCTGTTCTGCCTGGATCAGGCTGCTCAAACAGCTACAGCAGACCCAAGCTAGTCCCAGTTCCCCCTCTGCACCCCATCCTGGCTGGCATTGTCACATGGCAAGCTGCTGCCTCAGTCAGGGCAAACTAACACGGATCTCTGTGCACTGAGACATTATAGGAAAAACAGCCTTCTCATCCTTCCTGTGCAACTCCCCTGCCACTGTGGAGAGATCAGCTCTTCTGCTCTGCCCAGAGCTCACCCCCAGCTGGATGGTCAGGCTGGGGAAGCTGCTGCTCAGGGGGCAGCACAAGGGAGGACAAGGCAAGGGGGACCAGGAGCACAGACCCACCGTCCTCATCCCTCCCCTGAGAATGACATGGGGGCTGCTCTGCCAGCAGGGTAGCACTGGGATGCCATTCCCAACTGAGTGCCTGCAGGAAGTGCCTCTCCCTGTCTGTGCTGCCAGAGGAAACCCAGCCTTTCACCTCACACAGCTTATTGCACCCAAGCGTCCAGGTCTGGGAGGACTCACATCCTATTCCAGCTCTGGCTACGTGCTGCCAATTTAATTTCTGCTGCAATTATTCTCCCATCCAGACACTTGATCTACTGTCAATTAGCACTGACACAGTCCCCACAGCCCAAAGCCCATGTTTCCAGCCCCCCTGGGCCAGAAAGCTGCCAATTCTGGCAGTTTGGGAAACGGTCAAGAAAACAAACATCCTCTCCTTTGATTAGCACCACATGGCGGTATTTTGACTAGAGAGCTCGTGCTACAGGAAGCCAAAACCAGTGGGATCTCCAGAAACTTATGGATGGGTGCTCCCACTGCCTCTGTCTGCCAGGGAGGAGTGGCTGGGCCAGTGCCCACAACAACACCAACACCGTGCAAAGGGAGCCCGGGGATCCCAGCACGTCAGCAGTGATGTCATGTCTGCAGGAGGGGCATGCTGACTGCTGGCTGCAGAGCTCTGAGCTGCCCCAGCATCCCCAAGGTCCCACATCCACCCACCTCCAGGTCCAACAGGCATGCAGCCCTTCATTCTTTAGGATGCAAGTCTGAATATCACTCATTTCTGGCCTCCTCTACAGATCCTTGCTGTTAAGGACAGACTTGCCCAGTGAAACCAACTGATAATCAAAGTCTGCTCTTTAAAAAAAATGTTATTTCCCAAAGGTGACTCACTCATCCTGCTCAGTGTTGTTCCTGCTAATTGTGAACAAGCAGCTCTCCATTTCCAGCTTCTTCAGTTGTGGGGGCAGCTATTCCCTGCAGTCACAGCATTAATCAAAGTTTTAACAAGGAGGATTGATTACATTCTTGGTCTCTGAGTAGGGATTTTCCACAAAGCTCAACAGAGAAACCACAACAGATTTAGAAAGAGGGGAGAGGAGAGCTCATAGCAACTCCATACCTTCCAAGTTGCCTTGCACAGAAGATAATTACAATCTCACTGCCTTGAAGACAAAGATTACACCTAAATAAACGAAATTTGAGTAATAGAAATACAGCCTCTCTACAAATCGCTCAGACTGAGGCATTCTGCTTATGTCACATGTTTTGGGGCCTCCAGCAAGAATTACTGTAGTCACAAGTCAAAAGACTTCCAAGACATCTTTGCCCAGAATGATGAAAAAGTTGATAAGAGTAAAACCTGGAGGAAGGAAGGACATGTGCTCCACATTACTGCAAAGGTCACTTTGGGTAAAACTCTCAAAACCCTTTTCAAGGACAACCCCAAACCTCTTTTTGTGATTTGAGAGCAGAATTCCAGCAGATTTTTTTCCCTGCCTTTCAAAGCAGATTGCTTTTTTCCAGATGCGAGGAAGTGCACCTAAAGGTTGCACATTTTGAGCCAAGTTATTGCTTTCCAATGAGATTTTTCTGTCTCACAATCCAGTGAGTGCCTTTGCTGAAGAGGCTGAGTGAACACAGCCTGGGACAGCCCTGGGTCACCCCGCCCTGCTCCACAACCAGGGAGCAACCAGCTCCAAGACAGTGAGCTCCACAACAATGGGCAAGGGATGCCTGGGGCCAGGGTTGGTTCTCTGGGGTGCTGACGGTCACCCTGAGCATCATGCAGGTCAGAGGACACCAGAGCACAGCTCTGACACGTGTCCTGAGCCATCAGCATGAGCCACAGCTGGCTTGGGGAGGGAGAAGAGTCAACCAGCACATCTTGGGTGCAACCACAGCAATGGGTGCATGAAACCTCCTTCACCTCCTCTCTGGGAAACCCAAAAGGCCATTGAGCAAGAGTATGTAGGGATACAGGCACTGAAATAGAGGGCAAGAGCTCCTGCCTGTACCTGTGTCCCCTTGTTCACACACCTCTCAGTGCCTACCACAAACACATCTGCTTTACCCACCCACTCTCCAGACTTATATATTTTCAGTGTAGGTCTGGATTCAGGATAATCCATCCCTACCCCCTCATTATATTTCATATAACTGTCTAATTTTTAAAAAGATACATATGTAACATATATTAATAGTCAGATTCAAATCCAATCTGCATTAAACCTCAGAAATGTTGTATCTGGCAGTGGAACTGCTGCACATTTGTTCCTCATTTAATATTATTCATAGGGTTTGGGCACATTAAAGTCTATTAAGAAAAAATATCTGTCAGAAAAGATGGCTGTAATTGATGAATGAAGCAAACGTGGCCAGAACCCAAAGCCCAGGCTCACAGATCAGCCTGTGCTGTCACTCAGGGCAGGAAAGACAAACAGACCCACGTGTTGCTGGTGTGTGGTACTGGGGTGGGTTTGCTGGCCCTGCAGTCCTGCTGTGCCTCTGCCCACTGTCCCTGGGCAGGAATACAGAACATTTGCAAATCCCACAGGGCTGGAATGGCCAGCTGACTCAATGGCCTCAGGCTCAGGTCCACTTCTCATGGGGTTTGGAGGATCGCACCCCATCCACATGGCTGGGTGGGGTCTGTGATGCCAGTGATCTCTTCCTGCTCCTCACTGAAGGAGACACCACTCCCTGTAGCATCATTCCCCCTCTTCCACCCTTGCAGCTCTTATTTTCCTTCTGGACTGAGCCAAAGGAGGGCAGCAAGGGCACCCTGGGACCCTTGTGGGGACATTCAAAAACCCCTCTAGAAAGGAGCAGTTGAGCTAAACCAGGAGAACCTGCACATGGGCACTTCATGAGGGCTGGAGAAAAAACAGAGACCAGCACAGGACAGAACCCCCCTGGAGAAAAAACACAGAGCAGAACAGGACAGAACCCTGCTCTGTGGAGAAGGAGAGGATATGAACAATGTTTGAACACTCAGGGTCAGCCCAAGAACACTTCTGTGTCACTGGGGCAAGCACAGGGGGTTTTTGCCAGCCTGAACTGATATAATTCCATGTCCTGAAGGCAGCAGGCAGCTCCAGGGCCTCTGCTGCTGCCCTGGGAGGGGTTGGCCAACCTACAGCAGCAAGAAGCCTCCGCAGGCTCCAGCCCTGCCATCCATGACCTTGGGTGCCCTGGGAAAGCTGGCAGCACGTGCATCAGCTCAGCACACACCCAAGGGGGAGCAAGACAGCAGGAGCTGACCTTTGCCCACATCCCCACCCCATCCCCTCCTCAGACATCTGCACAGGAGGGACCAGCACATCCAACAACCGACAGTCCAGTACCTCAGAGGCAGAGAGGGAGGAGAGAGACCCTGGTGCTTTTCTCATCGAGGAGCCAAAGGAGAATGAGAGTCATCTTTGACCTTGCTAACAAATCATTAGACAGGAGAGAGGGAGCAGAGATGGAGACCTGCTCAGCTCCATCCCCTGCCTGGCAGCTGTGGAGCCACAGGGCAGGAAGGCAGGGCAGGATGCAGGCAGAAGGCTCCAGGGAACAGAGCTGAAGACAGAGGGGAGAGAAGCTGAAAAATAAGGAGAAGGAGGAGAAAGGATTAAGACAGGAAAAACAGGGAAAAAAAGAGGGGAACATTAAAAAAAAAAATAAATCCATCACCATGGGAGGTGAATCACTTGGAGGGTGGAGAGGATTTTGGAAGCAGCCAAGGTGGAGGCATGTCAGCTGAGGCAGATGCACACAGCCCCTGGGTGTGCTGTGCCCCAGGAAGGGCAGGCACTGGGCAGTGCTGTCAGAGGGTTCCCAACAGCTCCATCCAAAACAATGCTGACCATGAGCTTGGTCACTGGCCCCGAGGGGGTCAGTGCTGGGTGCTGCCCTTCAGCTGCTGGCAAGCTGATCCTGCAAAGCCTGGCTCAGCCAGAAGGGCAATGGCAGAGATGGGATTATGCCAGATCAAATCAGGATCTGGCTCACCATGAGAGTCTGGGCTGTACCAACCCAAGGAAAGTACAGCAAGATCTGCACACAGAGCTTTTAAACCACCCCTGGAAGGACTGCAGGTAGAGCAGAGGGCTTTCCAGGCCCCAGACATGGATCTCCTCTCCCCAGAAGCGAGGTGGGAGGGCAGTGGGTGTGCAGTACCTGTGGGTCTGGCTCGATGTTGATCCGGTATGCCTGAGCCTTCCCGTCCTCCAGAACAGGGGGGGACCAGCTCTTCCCTTCAGCTCTGCAGGAGGAAATTAGGGAAACTCTATTTAACTTTTAAATAAACCCAACCAAAGCAAAAAAAAAATATAATAAATTCAAACAAACAAAACCCACAAAAAAACCCCTCAAAAGCCAAACATATGTATAGTATGTAGGCCTGCCAGGGAATTATTATATACATATTTGTCTAAAATTATCCTCAGAAATAGCACAGTGGTAAACAGAGAAGATGCCAGTTCCATGCTATTAAAACCATGAAGCTCAAAACCCATCCTTGAAGTACAGGCTCTGACTCAGTGGGGGGTTTAAGACACAAACTTATTTTGGTTCAAGAAATCAGTAGACAAGTTCATGGTGGCTCTTGTTTTGCATATTCCTGGCTTTGTCCCTGTATTCTGGCTCTGAATCCAGAAGGTATTCTGATTACATGTGTGTCTGTAGATATATATATATATACACACATATGCATTCCCTGGCAGGCCTCAATACTAGCCCAGGACTGCAGGAATTCTATGAACACCTTTCAGGGAGAAGGCTTACACAACCCTGGGTGAATCATCTTGCATCTTGACCCTTTCAACAGGTGCCAGATACAAAAAGCCCTAAAAATACAGTTTCCATTCCAAAATGCATCTTCAGTCCTGCTAAGGCAGAGCAGGATGCTGCCACTGTCCAAAGATTTTCCATGTGCCTGCTCATGTTTCCCCCCACAGAGGCATCTCGGGGCACAGCTGGGATGTGAACTCTAGTGTGGATCTCCAACACTCAGGATATGAGGGAGCTGCCTGAGCTGGGCACAGTCCAGCAGGCTGGTACACAGGTTTTTTGCAAGGAGGTTGAACTGGGAGATGGAAACTCCATGAAGTTCAAGATAAAGCTTTCACATGCAAACTATTCTGTTTATCATCACAATCTGCATATGCACCACTTAATGAAAGTAGGTCTTGTTCCACGGGCACAGATCACTGGCTGCATCCAACCATCCTTTGTGGACTCTGGCCCCTGCCACATACCACACTCAGCTTCAGTTTAATTATCTGCAGAGTCCAAGTGTGAAAAATAAGGAGCACAGTTTTAACCTGGGAATTCCCGAGGTGATTTTTTACCTTTGGTATTTTGCAGCTGCACCAGTCAGCACACAAAGCTGCCTTTCCACATCTAGGGTCTGACTCAAAACCTACCAAAAGCAGGGACTCCCACTGACTTCAACACACTTTGGATCCAGCCCTGAGGATTTAAGTTCTTTTTGTTCCAAACCACTACTCAGTGCTGCCATCACAGCTTTTTCGACAGGGAATGACATACTCTCATAGCTAGATGCCTTGTTCTGATAATTTATCTTTACTATAATTATTTGATTTTAGACTGGGACAATTCACTATAAATTGGTCTTTCCAAGTGGGACAAAGGAAACAGTCCTTCCCAGGCACATCAGCATTCCCAGCATCCCCAACCTGCTTTTTGCCACGATCCAGTGCTGTGTGTATTGCTTCCACATTGAGACTCAAATCTGGAGGCCCAGAACAATGGGAATGCCTGATTCCACTGGCAGGGATCACCACTATTATCTCCCTGCTCTCCCCCACACTGGGCCAGCCCGGGGGGCTCTCACAGTGCCCCCAGAAGGGACTCTGAAGACATTCCCCCCACTCAGCTCTGGAGCCCACATGCCAAACACAGCTTAAAGCATCCCCAAAGGCTTCAACTTGCCAGTAAATAAGAACCAAGGCTCAGAAAGCAATTCTGGCTGCAGAAGATGAGAGGAATAGTAGTAACTTCACTCTGTGTGAAGCTTTGGCATTTGGTCACCAGCACTGCCTGCACTTGCCAGTTGGAGTCTCCCAGTTCTCCACACCCCTGACAAAGATCACACTGTGTGTACCAGAAAACAGCTAAATCTGTGTTTTCTAAAAGTCATTATGGATATATTTACACTTAATGAAAGACATGACCAGATTGGTTTGCACATTCAGTCACATTCAGAGAAGCCCATTTGTAGTTAATGCTTTAATGATTAAACTCAAGGCTTCACCATCAGCTCTGTAGAGCGACCAGAAGGTCTTGGTATAACTGAGACCACCTCAAACAGGTCCCAGTGACAGCCTGAACAAAGCCAGGTTCCCCTCAGCCCCAGCTTTCACTTGAACTGTGCTGAAACAAGCTGCCATGGCACAGTCTGGGTTCCATTTGGCACTTCTAAAGGCAAAGCAAAGGGGAATGGGAGAACCACCAGCCTCACCAGAACAAAATGCACGTCCTGAGTTTGAGGAGCATTTGTGCTCACACAGGGAGGCTCCCTCTTTTCCCTGGGAACAGCAAAATACCACGTAATCCAAAATAATCCCAAATAATTGGGAGGTGACTGTCTCAGAGAATGATGCCACGGGCAGCTACTGCAGGTGGGGCTGATGCTTGGAGCTCACTCCCCAAGCCTGGCTGCAGGAACAGCCCGTGCCCACGTGCCCAGCAGGAGCAGCAGGAGGGTCCCCTGCCCCTCCCAGGACATGGGGGCTGAGCAGGGCCCAGAGCAGTGGGGACCTGGGGGCCAGCACAGTGACCTTGAGACACCCCAGCAGCAGGTCCGTGCTCCCAGCAGTCAGAGCTCTGTGTCTGGGCAACAGCAAACACCCACTGCACTTCTCTAACGTCATGGGCCAGAGATCAGGCGTCGCTCAAATGTTCCAAGTCGTTCAATTCTGGGGAAAAAGTGTTTTCAGATGTGTTGTAGGGGATTAAAGGCAGCTATGTGGAAATCATTACCCTGCACTAACACCACACTGCTCTCTTAGCAGCTGCTAGGACAACCCCAAGAAAAATAACTTGACCTAGGTTAGTGCTGGGCCTTCCACATGGGGCTTTGTGGGAAACGGACCCATTTAACAGGACATCACTAAGAAAACAAAGTTGCAGACACCTTTTATCCCACTGTTTGTTTTCTAAAAGTCTCAAAGTCATTCTCAAAAGATTACTTGCATATGCTCACATATTTTACCAAAATGTTTTTTCACCTGGCAATGATCTGTAAGTCTCACTCTCAACATTTGTAGAGCTGCTTTTAAGCTGCAAGAATTCCTGGGTCTCACCAAATTTCTAATTTCTCCATCCCCTTATAAAGTAACATTTATCACTTGGGGAAGTGCCAGCCTGGATCCAGGACACTGCCATCTCTGACTGTGCAGCCACAAACCACCAGAATAATCACGTTGCTGTATTTCACCCCAATCCATGTGGTCCTTCCAGGAGGGTGACTCCAGGGTCCTGTCCATCTCCTGAACACTCTTCCCCTCCCACCAGGGCACATCACTATGCTCAGAACTGATTTTTATTGCTGATATGGCCATGAGCCTTCCAGGAGCTGAGTTCTGTCGAGAAGCAGCTACAGTCGATGCTTCACCTTCCCAGGACTGTGACCCTCACCACGACAACTGCAAGGTGTTGGATCCCCCCCTGCGAGGCAGGAGAGCAGCAGGGGAGCTGAGCTCTGCTGAGCACCCCGAAGGACCTGCCTGGTCCAGAGCACATGAAGGAGAAGCTGCAGGATTTCTCCTCCTTCATTCCTCTCGCCTGAAACCATTGTGTACTGCCCTGGACAGCTGCCGGTTTTCCTCTCTATTAGTCCTCGAGGAGCTCCAGAGGGGAAGCTGTGATTCACTTTTTCAGTTGTACTTTTACTGGAAACTTGAGAACATACATTGTCATCCTTCCCATCTTCCAGCAGCGTGTCTGCACTGCTCACAGCTCAGGGACCCCAACACAACCTCCAGGAGCTGGGGGAGGTGGGAAGAACATCAACTATGGGAGGTTCCAGGGACTTTTGGGGCTACACATCCAGCAGATTCATTACTGGGCTTTCTCCCACAGAAACTTCCAGAAAAACTCCATCTCTGTACAGGGAGCAGGAATGAACAGACAATCTTCATACTCCAGTTCTCCAAGCAGACTCAGCAGTGGCACAAACACCAAACTGAGAGGAAAGAAACTGCTTCCAGAATTTAAGGCAAAGTAGATCCCGTGCTACCTTGGCTTTGGGATTCAACAGCTGGGAAGATGATGCTGGAACAGGTGCCTGATTTATCATCAGGGCAGCCTGAACCATTCCACCAAACCCTCATCAGTACCATCACCCCCTTTCCCACAGCCCAGGTGCTGTCCAGCCTCACTGAGCCCACTTGAACTCCTGGCCTCACATTTCAGAGCCACGAACCACGACCTGAATGCCCAGCCCTGATTCCAGGAATGCCCAGGTCATTCCTCACACCTTACATCAGTGCCCACATAAATGTCAGTTATATAAATCAACTCCTTTTGTAAGCTGAGGAGGATTTTCAACCACTCCATTGCAGGCCAGGAAGGTGACTCTGCTGCTTCACCTGTCACAGCCCCACTGCCCAGACACAGCCCTGCATGTGTCCAGGCAAAGCAGGACCTAAAAAAAGCCAAGGACAAAACACCCATTAACTTCAGATGGGTCAGGGGTCTCGCCAAGAAAGCTGAGAGAAAATAAGGGGTGTGAAGAAGGAGGGAGAACCCCCCCCAAGAGATATAAATCATTGATAAAGGACAAAGAAATTTTAAAAAAATAAAAGAAATATCTGTTAGTCCAGCCTGAGAGCAGGGGCAGCTTCTCAGACACAAACACTGACTGGAGGCTGCAGGGGCACAGGAGAGCCACAGACCCCAACACTCCTGAAAAGCTGCAACATCCCCTTTCCAGCAGTTTTCCTCTGTGGGCATGGGGCCAGCTCCTCCAGGAAAGCTGCAGCACAAGCCTTCACCCTCCCAGCTGGCAGAGGACAAAAGGTTCAGAAGAAGCTGTCGGGCTCGCCCTGGCCCTGTGGCACAGACGGGCAGGTCTGGGCAGTGCTGCCAAGGGCTTCCCAGCAGCCTGTGTCAACAGGAACTGCGATGCCACGAGGTCTCACGCCCCACAGCCAAGGTCCTTTGGGTGCTCAGCCCTCTGTTCTCAAAAAATACAGCTACAACCCAATTTTCTGGCCTGGTCTGGCTGGCAGAGCCACAGGAAGCAGGGCTCTGGGTGCTGCTCCCCATTGCAGTGGTTGGATGTCACATATTCACATTTGATCAGAAGCTGCCAGTTTTTCTCCTTCAGGACTGACTGGAGGAGCAGCTCCTGCCATGCAGCTGGATGAGAGAGAAACCATCAAACCCAGCATGACATTCCCAATGGCAGACAGTGCTGAAGTTCCCATCACAACAGAAATCCCACTCACTTCAGTGGTTCCCTCCCACGCATGGGGCAGAGTGATTGCCTGCACTCCATGGGAAAGTACCACACTCCAGTTGTTTATTCTACCCATGGGCAGTCCTCTGGCTATTTACATGTTTCCCACTAGTGTATCCAAATGTTTTATTAAAGCAGATTTGATAAATGGAATAATCAGCATCTCATCCCATGAAATTCAATGGGTCTCTGCATCCACAACACCTCCAAAACCCAAAGGGGCCATGTCGGTCTTGGGACACCCCGTCAGACCACCCAGGAACTCCCTGTTCTTGTTTCCCCCCATTCTGACTTTCCTACTGAACTTTCTAATCAAAGGGCATTTACTGACCAGAGGGTGAAAACAAAAACTGTCTTGTTCTCTATCTCAGTACCATAAAATGTCAAGGGTTGATGGAGAAAGGGCATGGGATGGCTGGGAGGCACCAGGGGCTGGAAGGGCACCAGGGGCTGGAAGCCCTGCCCAGTTCCCTGCCCTCCCTCTGCACACACACCTGGCTGCAGGGACCCTGCTTTGGCAAAACAGAGCTAACACCAAATTTCACATCTCTTCGTTAAAGACATACATCAAACAAGCTTGTTATTGCAAATCTATTTCAGACAAACACACTTATTTAAAAACAATCTCCCTGTGTTTGTTTGCAAACTGGATTTTGTTGAAGGCAGCGCAGAGAGATGATTGTGCTTGGAGAGCATCCTCTGCCCAAGGGAAAAGACACTAATCCACACCCTGCTCTCTCCTGGAGCTCAGGCTCACAGCAGGGTCCAGGGCTGGGAATGCACAGCTGTGACAAACAGCAGCAGTTGGACAGGCACACAGACCAACAAACCCAGTGAAAGCCCTGTCAGTGCCCCAGGACACAGATCCCTAGGCAGGACTGGGTCACCCCACACCCCAGGAGGCAGGACCTGCAGAAGGGATCCACTCACACCGAGGAGGGAGCACCAGACGTGCTTCCAGCAGTGACCTACGCCTGGGCAGAGTCATCTGGATCCAACAGGTCACTCGGGAAACAGGAGAGAGATCCAAGAGCCATGTCACTGTGCACTCACTTTGGGCCAAACTAAAAACAGCCCTAATAACGCATCAGTGGAGTTGCTGTCCTCACTGCAGGAAAACAAACGGCTCAGTTTTTCCTGTCAAGAGGAATGCCACTCTCATGGGCACCTCTGGGCACAGCCAAGGTGTGTTCTGCCCTCGGAGAAGCCACCAACCCGACCCAACAGCGTGATCTCCTCCAAGAGGAGCCACCCCGTGCTGAACAGCTCCTCACCATCACCAGCTCCTGTCTGTTCCTGCCTCGCAGACTCTGGGCATTCATTTTTGCCTGTGAGATACAAAAACCTTTCAAATCTGCATCGTCATTATGAAGACTTCAAGACCTGGCAGCTGTTCCAAATGGAAAGCAAAACCACTGTCCTTCTTTGGCTGTGGGAAATTCCACCCGTGTGAAGGGTTTGCTTGCTTTTCTTGTTTTCTTTCTTTCCCAGTGCTGAAGCCACATGATCCCAACACCGTGGGCTGTGCTTCAGCCAGGCAGCCTGGACACCCCTGCTGAGGAAGCACGAGGAACCACAGAGGCTTTGCTCCATTTATGGCAGCGCTGCCCAGTCAGAACCACAGGGTTTTCCAAGAAAACTATAAACAGCAAATGATAGCTCTTTACAGCAGGAAATGCCTCTTTAATCTGGAGTGGAAAACTATATCCACTCATTTAAACCTATTACAGATAACATTAGCCATTCATGAACCTTATAAGGAGCCCTCATTTTGCTTGGATGATTTGTGATTAACAATATTTAGCTCCAGAATTAATTCCAGCGGAAAGCAAAAAAATAAAAATAAAAAACCCAAAAACCCGAAACCAAAAAAGAAACAAACAAAAAAACCCCCAGCCAAACTCAAGCCTTCATTTTGCCTCGAAAGACTCTAAACAGTGAATTTGGCCAGACCATCAAATGTGTATTCACTGAACAGATGTTTAGGAAAATGACAGGTGGATGTTAATGAAGGGAGAGGGTTTGTCCAAAGGAGATTCCAATCCCACTGCTACTCTTGCTTGAGTTGCTACAACTTCCCTTGGGTTGAAAGACTCAACCCAGGTCACAGCCTGGACAAGTCTTGCAAGGCACAAATGATAATCCACATGCATAAATGAACAGAACCCATTTTTGTATCAGTGGACCATTAAAAATAATTTTGTTTTACTGTTTTTGAAAACACAGGACAATTACCCAGACCATGGGGATGCTCCAAGAACTGAGCCTGAGGGCACATCTGCTCCAGGGCAGTCACAAGCCTTCAGCAAAGCTGACCCAGGAGCACATCCCAGCAAACCAACCTGTTCACAGAGAGCAGCAGCTGGTCCACACATGCTTTGATCTTGTTCTGTGCTTCCAGGTGTGTCATGTTCTCCGTGTTCTCTCCATTAATTGCCAGAATAACATCTCCTGGGCACAGGTCTGCCATGGCTGCTTTACTGCCAGGGTTAATCTGGGCAGAGAAAAATAAAAGGGTTACTTAAAAGAATTCCAGGCTTAAAAAAAAAAAACACAAAAAAACCAACGCCCAAAAAGTCCATTTTCTTAGAATAAGCTGCAGGTAAAAGGAATAGTTATTTCTGGAGAATATGTGTTTTGCCTACACTGAGGTTGGATGTCAGAGCTCTCAGCTCAGCCTCAGTTCTCCAAGGATCATCCTCTACAACAACACTCCATGGAATAAGAGACTTCAGTCAGTGTGTGACCAGATCCTCCCCTCACATTTGTCTCTTGTTTGAAACAATGGAATACCCTCTTTCCAGGGAGATGCTCCACACTCCTTTGGCTTGCAGACCTTACATGATGCTGCAAGAATCAACCCCTAAAGAGCACAAGGAACCTCCTCTCTGGGTAACCACGCACAGAGGGCGAGTGCTGGCACTGTAACTGCTGCTGGGACAGCCCTGCTGGACATCAGCTTTTCCTGACTGTCACCCAAATGACTCGTCTCCTTCCAGCCCTGCATGGACCCCATCCCTGGAGGAATTCAACAGAAGTGGCTCCTGGGGACAGGGTTTAGTGGCAGCCTTGGCAGTGCTGGGGTAATGGTTAGACTTGAACATCTTTTAGATCCTTTCCAACTAAACAATTCCATGATTCTATTCTATAAATATCGCACAGCTTGTTAAGTCTCCACAATTCTTTCCTTCTGGTTTTGTGGGAGTGCCAGAACCTTACAAAACTCATAACTTCTTTCCTGAGGAACTAATGACGGGTCCAGGTACCGTTTGTGGTCAGCCATGAGACCAGCCCTGTAGCCCACAAAAGAGGTGCCTGAGAAATTACCGTTTCATTTACATCATCCTAAACGTGGTTTTAATTTTTATGATATAAAAGGACACAAGGCGTGGTCAGGACAGGTAAATCTGTTGGTTTAAACTCTTAATAGCTGTGTGTTTGCCCTCTAATTTCCTCTTCAGTCATTCTGAGCATCTGCTAAGCAACCAACCACGTGGTTTATCAAGTGAGAAAGCACAGCGAGCCTGACTTCTGGTTATTCATGTCTCACTCCACTAAAGCAAGACAGGGCTTTGCTTCTGCTTACTCTTGATTCACACAGGTATAATCCCCTGTCTCAGGAGGGGGGTCTCTGCCCCAGTACACCTGCTTGAGACATCCAGACCACAGGAGCACTGCTCTACCCACCATCTGCCCCAGGCACAGCTCACAGTGGTGCAGGATGGCACCCAGACACCAACAGACTGGGTATGGTTTTTCAGGCAGTTTGAGACCAAGTGGGGCCACCTGTTCCCCAGTGTCCATGGTCCCCAGTCACCACAGGCCATCACTAAACAGGTATTTTAGAAAGGAGGCATGCACAGGTCCTGGCTTTCACCTTGATTTCACAGAACCCTGGAATGGTTTGGGTTGGAAGGAACCTGAAAGTTCACCCAGTTCCAACCCCCAACCCCCCTGCTGTGGGTGAGGACACCTTCCACCAGACAGAGCAGCTCCAAGCCCCACCCAACCTGGCCCTGAACACTTCCAGGGGCGATTTATTCTATTTCCATGGGGCGTTCAAAGAGGATTTAGTCTCACCCCAACAGCCCTTGTGGATCCCCCTGGGGCTGCCGTGGGACCAAGGCTGGTGAGCAGCAGGCAGCCCCTGGCACAACACAACCTGCTGCACTGCCCCCTGACACACAACCTGCTGCACTGCCCCCTGACACACAACCTGCTGCACTGCCCCCTGACACACAACCTGCTGCACTGCCCCCTGACACACAACCTGCTCCCTGCCTGACCACAGCCACCAACACCACCAAAACACCAGCCTGGAGGTGTTTGAGAAGCACTTTTGACATTTAAATAGAACTGGCAGCCCGAATTACAGCTTTTGTTGCATTGTCAGAGTAAATCAGCGTTTGCCATTTGCTCTTCAATAGTTTTGGCCGGGCTGTTTGGCTCCAGCAAACCTGCCAGGCCAGCCCCTCACAGGCTGCCCGGTGACTCAGCTCAGAGCAAACAACGGGAGGGGTTTTTCAGCTCCACACACAGGAGCTGTAGAGTTTTGACACAGGACATTTCAGCCCAGGACAGGATTATTTTTTCCCCTGGTATGTTAGGTTTTTTGGAGCCATGTAAGACTACATCCATCCACAGGGCATTAGAGTCCTTCTACAGCCACAGGAGCTGCCAGACCCGCCAGAAAGTCAACCAGAAGCTCCACCAGCACCTCAAAGGAAGCATCTCCATGTTCTTGCCTGCTGTTATCTGCTTCCCTCAGTGGCCACCCCACAGCCCTGGCTGCCAGCAGGCTTTTAGACTAACAGACCTTCAGCCAGGACAGCTGTATTTTGTTCTTGTCCATTCAGTGCTGTCTAAATGTCTGATGGATTTGCCCCTGCACTGATCTTAACCAGATTGTAGCTCCCTTGGAGAATAAGCTGTTCATAAATGGGACTCCTAGCTTTTTCCTATTTTTAGATTCTGGTTTATTTCAAATTATTTTGGCAGTATTTGCATATTAGCATTTTATACTTGCTGTGGAGATGACCGAGGGCTTGAAATGGAGCTGCACTCCCAAGAATTCATCAGTTTGAGATACAGCATCAGTGTCTCAACAGCGTGGGAGTCATTACTGTAATGTCTGTCAGGTCCAAAGTTTGTATTTTAGTGACTGATGTTTACAATACTTCAGACTAAGTTCACCTAACTCACAGCTGTGCACAGCCATTGACACCAAACATGCCACAGAAAGCCTGATGAGGCTGGTTTGGGGTCAGTGCTGTGCCCAAATCCTTCTACCTGCTTTGGACTTGGGTTAGTGCTGTCCTTGGCAGTGGTGGATTAACAGCTGGACTCGATGGTTTTAGAAATCTTTTCCCACCTAAACATTCTGTGATTCTATGCCATTAGAGCCTGGCAGTGCACAGAGGTTTTGGGATGGAGCTTGTACCAGAGCCACTCACTAGAGACTCTCCAGAGGGGCCTCAGGTGTGCCCTGAGCTGTAACCTCAGCGTGTGTGACACCAACGAAACACAGAAGAGTTTGAGAGTAACTGGATACGTCGTGAGGCTGAAAACACTGACAGAAAACCTGCACTGAGCCACTGCAGCCTCATGTTCCTGAAAGGGGCCTCCAGAGGAGCTGAGGCTCGAGGATAGGAGAGGATAAAGAAAAACCATGATAAGATTTTATTTGAAGTTCTCCACCTGTGCCAAGAGCAAACCATTTCAAAAATCAAGGTTGGATGAACACAGACCAAGACCAGACTGATGGATACGTAACTCAGGGTGGTGTGAGTGATCCCCCACCACAGGCAACACCAAGTGCCCTAAAGCAAGTCCCAGCTCACGCACCAGGGCCTCACACGGGCTCTGTGTGTGCCCTGCCCCATCTTGCCCAGGCTGGGTGCCTGCCAGGATCTGGGCTGCTTCTCTGCTTGTCTCCAGTGAAGAGCTCAGGCAGGGCAATTACACACCAGCCCAGTGCCTCCCACCCTGCTGACCCCCAGGGCAGCAGCCCCATGCAGGGGTTGGTGTTTCAGAGCCAGAGGAAGGTGCTGGTGTGGAATTCCATGGGGGGACAGGGGACTCTCAGCCCCTGGGCTGCAGCAGCTCACAGGGTCTTGCTCCCTCTGAGGCCACGTAGCTCTCCAGGAGCTCTGCTCCTGCAGTGGGACAGCAACCTCAGTACCCCTTCAGAGCAGTCAAGTGTATGCACTGAGAGCCAAAACCACAGCAAACACCACGGGCTTAAAGAAACGTAAATATTTTTATTGTAATTCCCCTACAGGGTTTTCTTTTTCGACCAGGCAAGAATCCTGCCTCCTCTGGAAGCTCTGAGCTCCCAAGGACAACCTCATGCAGCAACAAAACAGCACTGAGCTGGTTATTGCTGCCCTGCACTCAAAGGTATCTGGTTATTGCTGCCCTGCACTCAAAGGTATCTTCCCAACAACAAAAATCCAAAGCCAGCTGATGGAGACTTTTGGTGAAGTTTCCCAAGATAGTCATGCCAATCCCCAAAAGCATATTATTCTCCCTAATCCCATCAGGACAGGTCTCATTTGTGACATCTTTATGTCCCCCACGTAGCACTGTGCTTCAAAAAATACCAGAGGTCCAATATTGGTTCCTATCTTAGTCCTTTCTATTATTCCAGTAGGAAAAAGAGAATTTTAAAGAAAGACCCCCGAGTAAACAGCCCTTCTCTCACTGTCCTCTGCCTCCTCAGTCACCATGGGAGGTTTGGTGACAGTGCTGGAAGCATCATTCCCACACCCAGCACGACTTTTGCCAAGTCATCAACCAGGGAACTCTCTCCATAACTATAAGCATTTTTTTTAAATAAGTTTTTCCAATTATTTTCTCCACCACCTTTCCCAAGATTTCCACCCACCTCTCTGCCCTTCTCCAGGGAGGCCAGCCTTCAGCAGCCCCCTCCCCAGCCAAGAGGATATTCTGATGCTGTGGAACAGACTGGGAAAAGCCCAAGGCCAGCAGCAGCTCTCTTATCTGGCCACTGGAGCCTCGTTAGGATTTACTAAGTGCTGGCATCTGACAGCAGGCCAGTAAATAAAGCACGTTAAGGAACTGCCTTGTGCTTAACCCAAGCCGGCTGGTGTTGGGGCCGTGCAGTCTAATTTAGTCAGCAAGATTATTCACACCCAGAGCAGTTTACTCTTGAAACACAGTGTTCTGCTGTCTGCCCTGGAGCCTGACCACACAAGGGTGGGAGAGCACTCAGAGCAGGGCAAAGTCCCCGTGCCTGGTGCCTGCACCCCCTGCCCACGCAGGGATGGACCCCTGCCCATGCAGGGACGGCTCCACTCTGCTCAAGCCGTCTTTAGAATTGGGCCAACACCACAAGCTGAAACAATCAACGCTTTGGTGAAAGGTTAATTTGTCTTATGAACTTAATCCCTCTTTATTTTTACTCTTTTCCCCAGAAATCTGCCTCTGAAGTCACCTGTGCCAGGACACAAGGACAAGGGATGCAGCTCCTGG